GTTTCCTCTTTTATGAATTGCTCAGTTTTCTATTGAATTTGTTCATTAATTTGTAGTTTATTATAAAATGAATTCTTTTCTTTGTTGAGTAATGAACATAATCATCTTGACCCAGCCTGTGGCTTGTATTTTGACATGTTATTTGATGAACAACTTATTAAGCTTTTCTTTGAAAGTTTGTCCTCTTTATATCTTTATGCCTTACTTAAGAAACCCTTCCTCTCTGAGGCATAATGATTTTTCTCCTATAATTTCTCTAAAAATTAAAAAAATTCACATTGAATTCTTAATCCATTTGGAGTTTATTTTTGTGTTTGCTGTGGACAGCAGTAGATTTACTCTGCCATCACTTGCATGAGCTCTTTTCAAGGCTCTGGGAGAAGCCCAAGTAATGTTCACATGGGTTGTGTTTTTATAAAATTTTCAAAAATAATTTATTTTGGAATTTCCTTAGGAATCCCCAAATTGTAAGTTTTTGGCTTCATAAAACTTGGACTTCTTTCCTACATATGAGGTAGGATTCTAATTTAAATCTTTCTCCATATAGGGAGTAATTGTTCCAGTATCAATGATTGAAATATGCAAACTCTTTGCCATTGATTTGCAATCCTACTCTGTCATATATAAAGATGTCATGTTTGAAGGGGTTTCTTTCTGGGCTCTTTATTCAGTTATATTGGCATGTTTGCCTATCCCTCCAATTTATTTTGATGTAGTAGAGAGTTCTAGGACTCTTTGTGTCTTCCAAAAGGGTCTTAAACCAGGCCATTCCATTGGTGATTTATTTTATTGAAAACTACAGCTTTCTGATTTTGCTTGAAAGGCTTAGGTTAGTGGAAAAAAAATACATTGTTATCTGTAATTGGTAATTCCTCTCTTAAGCCTTTACTGATTTTCTCACATAGTTCTATATGATTTTTTTCAGTGTCCCACAGCACTTTTTACATAATCCACTTAATCATATAATATTTTAATTAGTCATTTATATCTGTGATTCCAACGAAACGGAGCTCCTTCAATGTGGGCTGCCTAAGTAACTGGTATGGCGTATAACACATAGCAGGCATTCAAAGAATGTCTGAGTTAATGAGTAAATTCAGAATATCAAACAATATACATAAATAATTTGAGCCAATCATGATTATTATTAATTTCTTGCCAATTGGACTTATGAACTATACTGTGCCCAATTATCAAAATGAGGTAACGTCTATGTGATTGAATATTTGTTCACACTTAACTCTGAGGCTATATAAAGAATCTTTACATGCTGCAACTCTTTAGGAAGCCAGTCAGAAGTGCATTATACAGCTGCTTAATGTGTATGACTTTAAATCCAGAAAACTTTGTTGTTCTATTGATTGTAGCAATTAATGGTTTTTCTTTTTTCCTTCTCAAAAGGGGAGAAATAAAGTCAGAAGATTCTGGTTGATTACAATTTTAACGTTTCTGAAATAACAAAGTTGAATTAAGATCAGCTTATGTTTATTATATGAATTATTTAAAATAATACTTCTTGCTGTGACAGATAACCCTCCATATCTCAGTAAGTTTAACAGTAGTTTATTTTTCAATCATGGAAAATCCTAATGGATGTTAGTTATCAATGGTTGTTTCTCTAGGCAATGATTTATAGACTCAATCTCCTAGTTTGTTTTTGTCCTTAACGTCTCCTTAGACCCTGGAATCCTCTGCACATTTTTATCCTGCTTGGCAATGGAGAAAGACTAAAGCTATCATGTGGGAGGCTTTTATGAGCCAGGCCTGTGCCTACATCACTTGTATCCACATTCAGGTGATTAGAACTCAGTTACCTGACAAAACCTGGCTATTAGCCAGAATAATAATCTAGCCATGTGTACAGAAAGAAAAGGTAAGCAGATTTTCTGAATAATTGTTAAAGCAAATCAATCACTGACATAACCTATTAGGTACCACATAATATGCGAGGCATTAGGGATACAGGACCCTGTAGTTGAAGATCCCATATATATACTACACATAGTAGAAAACGAAATAAAAAAAAAAAGCCTTTCTCCACCTTTTAAAATTTTTAAATCTTGCAGCTGGAAAATGTAAGCAGGGAGATGGAAATAAATAAAATAAATACAAACAGAAATGAAGAAGCAGAATGGTTAATAACCTTCTAACATGGAAAACACTATCTGAGGTGGATTCATCTGAGTAATACCAAACATTTAAGGAAGAAATTATACCAATTCTGTATAATCTCTTCCAGATGATAGAAGCAAAGGAATACTTCCTAACTTATTCATGAGCCCAGCATTACTACAATACCCAAATCAGATAAAGACATTATAAGAAAACTAAATCAATATTTCTCATGAACACAGATGCAGAAATCTTCAAAAAAATACTAGCAAATTAAATCCAACAATGTATAAGAGGAAGTATAAACAATGACGAAGTGGGACTTATCCAAAGTATGCAAGGCTGGTTACACATTCAACTAATCAATTATTGTAATTAATCACATTAACAGGCTAAAGAAGAAAAATCATGTGTTCATATCAATAGATGCAGAAAAAGCATTTGACAAAATCTAATACCCATGTTATGATAACAAATTTCAGTGAGCTTTAGCTTGCTAAAGAACATCTACAAAAACCCTACAGCTAACCGTATACTAAATGGGGAGAAACTTGAAGGTTTCCTGTTAAGATCAAGAATTAGGCCTGCCTCTACAGAACCAATCTGCCTCAAAGTCTTCTTGAGAACACTTAAACTATTTGTCGGGGGAAGAAAAATCTTACAATACGAAGACATAATAGTAGTAGATTTGGAAAAGGCTTGCCATTTGACATTTAAAAAAATGATCAATGAAACTATCAGTGAAAAGGAATTAAATTTATCTTGACTACTTATGGTAAAGGGCACAGTGGAGCACAGGTTGAAAACTACAAACTTTTTGATACTTAAACCAAAACACAGTTCCCAGATAATTTTCCCAAGTGAGGAATTTGGCTATTTTTTGTTGGTTCCAGGAGAAAAACGCACATGAGAACAAAAAGTGTTTAGCATTCCATGTTATTTGTTCAAACATCTTAGTCACATTTCCACTTTTATATTTGGCCAATTTATCTTAATATAGTGTTTTTATTTAATACATCACCATATTAGAAAACTAGGCCCTTGGCCAGGTGCGTTGGCTCACATCTGTAATCTCAGCACTTTGGGAAGCTGAAGGTGGGCGGATCACCTAAAGTCAGGAGTTTGAGACCAGCCTGATCAACATGGAGAAATCCTGTCTCTACTAAAAAGACAAGATTAGCCAGGCATGGTGACGCATGCCCGCAATCCCAGCTATGTGGGAGACTGAGGCAGGACAATCACTTGAACCAGGGAGGTGGAGGTTGCAGTGAGCTGAGATTGTGCCATTGCACTCCAGCCTGGGCAACAAGAGCAAAACTCTTGTCTAAAAAAAAAAAAAAAAAAACCCTAGGCCCCTTTTTCTCTAGAAAAATGACAAGACCTGGAGCTAGTGTTGTAGACCACCAAGAGGTTCTACACAATTAGTAAAACCATTTTCTTTATGTCAAAACCTCTAAGTCGTGCCTTTGACCTGTGTTTCAGATGAAGCAGACAACTAAAAAAGAAATAATTCATTTGTATAATTTGGTAAATTTTGATAATACTGAATTATTTGAGTTATTAATGAAGGCGTTGTTTTTGTGACAGAACAGCTGCTCTGAATTAGCAATTAGCTGCTGCCTTTTTGGTGGAACTTATTTCCTTATTTTCAATAATGAATCTAAACACCTTGGTATCCTCAGGCCTCTTTTCTATTGCAGTTAATGAAGCTCTTTCAAGAAATGGTAATTTTGAAATCCAGGAAAGAGCTTTAGGCCTGGATGGGTATTTAATTACCTTTTAAGAAGCCTAGTTTGATTTTTTTAAAATCTTTTGGACAGGGTCTCACTCTATCGCCCAGGCTGGAGTGCAGTGGTGTGATCACTGCTCACTGCAGCTTCCACCTACTGGGCTCCAGTGATCCTCTCACCTCAGCCTCTCGAGTAGCAAGGACTAGTCAGGCCACCACGCCCAGCTAATTTTGTATTATTATTATTTTTGTAGAGGCGGGTTTTGGAAGCCTTGGCCTCCCAATGTGCCAAGCTGTGCAGGCCTGGCCAGGAGTTTACTTTCAAAATGCACTGGTAAGGTGCTTTCTTCAGAGGTAACCAAAAATAAGACAAGCTGGGCAAAACTTGGGCAGCATGTCTATGTGATTCCTCTAAGTTCAATGTATATTTTCAGAGTTAATATTTGAGTTTCTTGACTTTGTTAGCTTGCAAGCTATTATACGGAAAGGTAATATTTTATAGACTCATTACAGCCTAATACAACCAACACCGACGCTTACAACTCTGGATTCATTATTTACTAGTTACTTTCACTTTGTCTCTAGAACTCTCAATTCCGCTTTCATTTTGGTTATTCCCGCAGCTTCCCTAAATCCCACGTCAGACTGCAATCCTACGGTTCCCTGCAATCTTCTCTTTACCATCCCTCCTCCGCCCCTCATCAGCCAAGTAGGGAATACTTTGTCATTGCTTTGTGAAAGTAACAGAATGCGAGAGCTTGTCTACACGTGTGGCCAAAACGCATCCTACAACGGTATACGTCTGAATCTCATTTCTCTTCCCACATCCGCCTTCCTTCCAGCAAATAAACCTCGGAACTAAGTTTAAATCTGTCACTTGCTCCTCCTACCAGCGGCCTATTGCTTCTGCCCTCCTCACTGAACCCAAGTTCCTCTTCGCAGTCCTTTCATTTATCAAGAAAAACAACCCACTCTATTTTTTCAGGGCTTTAAGTGCTAGGTCTGGTCTCTTTCTCCGAATCGAACCAGCATCCCCCTGTGCTTCCCCACCCAGGCCGGACCTCCACCTGGGGAACCACCGCAGCGCAGCCGGCCCCAGCATCTGCAGCCACCTTTTCACCGGAGCGCCACTTCCGGATCTCGGGTGCTTCCACTTTACGGTTCCCCTCACCCCCTCAGACACTTCCTAGAGCTTTGTCTAGCAGGGTCGGAGCAGGGACCCTGACTAGCCGAAGGCAAGAGTTCTCCTCCACGAAGACGCGCAGAGTAGCTTCTCCACCCTGAGAAATCTGGTCCGGCTGCGTAGAGTGGCGGCGGTGGAGGGGCAGTTTGTTTTGAGCACCAAGTGCCGCACACCCGGAAGTGGCGCGATACGGGAGCCGCGCTGCCGGCGGGGGCGGGTGCCGGGAACCTGGAGGTGGAGGGAAGGCCGCGGTGCTCTGGCAAGTGAGCGGAGGGTGGAGTGCAGAGAGAGTGGGAGCAGGAGGGAGCCTGGCTTTAGCTCTGGTTCTCTGGTGGCAGATCCGGCTGGGTTCCGGGAGGCGAGGGCCTCGCGGGGTGGCTGGGTTGGTGAGCCTGCTTCACTTCATTCTTCCAGTCTGAGGGACACGCTGTCTTCTGGTCAGTATCTCTTCCTTACTTCGCCTGGCTAGTGGTGGTGTACTGGTGAGGAAGTCGCAGCTGGAGCTGGGGGTCTACTTGAGTTTTCTCTGCTTCTAAGAGGAGGCGAACAGCCCCTTTGGTGGGAACTTACTGCTTTCTGCCGGATAACTAACGCTTTTTTCTTCATTGTACCGCCAACTTCTAACGTTTCTGTCTTTACTTCTTTCAGCTTGACTTTGACTCCTTACCTTAAAAGATGCTGGAGTCATATGTAACTCCAATTTTAATGAGCTATGTGAATCGCTACATCAAGAACTTAAAGCCGTCGGATCTACAGCTTTCACTATGGGGCGGAGATGTGGTACTCAGCAAGCTCGAGTTAAAGTTGGATGTGTTGGAACAGGTAAGCTATGTAGCTGTCATTCCGACCTCAGGTGATCCACCACCTCGGTCTCCCAAAGTACTGGGATTGTAGGCGTGAGCCACTGGTCCCGGCCTACATAATTTTAAAAAGTAGTTTGTTCCTAGTGATGGTATATTAGAATGGGATTACTCAAAGTTGCTTTGACAGGAAAACGATTTCATTGTTTGTGTCAGAATTGTTCAGTCTGTATAGTCAATTTTCAAGCATTACGAATATGCTAATTTACATTGTCAAAATTATGTGTGAGCCTGTAATGTCTCCACTCGATTACATTCTCATCCTTTTTGGGCAATGGAAGGGTTTGAAAGCCAGCAGGAAGGGTGGCTGGCTGGTGGGGCTGAGAAAAAAAAAAAGAAAAAAAAAAAAAAAAAAAAAAGAGCAGGTTCAGATCACATTTCCCACGGCATCCTCAGAGTGTTGAGTAGATACATTGAGAATGGCAGTAAAATTGGAAACTTCTTTATTAATCGTTTTAGTTCCTTTTAACATGAGATTGGTCTGATGCAAGAAACTGTAACTTGAGGGTTCACGTATTCATTAATTCATTTAGTACATTTATTAGTAACATATGCCAAGAAATTCTGTTAGGCTTGAGCATCTGTGGAAACTCAGAAGAGTCAGAGACCAACTGGTTTTTAGGATAAGGGAAGACTTAATCTGACAGTGATAGTTATTGATAATTTGTAGTTATAGTCCACAGCCTCTTTTATTACTCTTTTGTTAAGTCAATCTAGACTTAACACTAAGAAATAATATTCCTGGCTGCTTCTTTTTCCTCTTTCCAAGGTTGAGTGGATATTTTCAATATTTTCACTTTAGTTTTTTTTTTTACTGAGTACAAATCCCAAGTATAACAGCTCAATTTTAAAATGTTTTACATCTGTGCAACTACTGTCCAATTAAAAAAATAGAATGTTTCCAGCACCCCAAAAGGCTCACCTGTTTTACTTTTAATAAGTACTCCAGGCTGGGCGTGGTGGCCCATGCTTCTAATCCCAGTACTTTGGGAGGCCGAGATGGGTGGATCACGAGGTCAGGAGTTCAAGACCAGCCTGGCCAACATGGTGAAACCCCATCTCTACTAAAAATACAGAAAATTAGCAGGACATGGTGGCATGTGCCTATAATCCCAACTATTTGGGAGGCTGAGGCAGGAGAATTGCTTTTATCTGGGAGGTGGAGGTTGCGGTGAACTGAGATCATGCCGCTGCACTCCATCCTGGGTGACAGAGTGAGACTCCTTCTTGGGGGGTGGGGGAAAGTACTCCCCACTCCTGAAAGAGGTGACTGGTAATCTGACTTCTGTCAGCATAGATACCTTTTACCTGTTTTTGAACCTGAAATAAGTTGAAATCACTTAATGTTTGGCTTTTTTTCTTTCAACATTTCTAAGATTAACCCATGTTGTTAGATGAGTTTGTTTTTTGTATTGCCATTACTATTCCATTGCATAAAGATTCTACAATTTACTTTTCTCCTGTTGATGGACACTTGAGTTTTTAATATTTTTGGCTTGTGAAGAAAGCTTCCATGAACATTCTAGTACATGAATCTTGATAACATAAGTATTAATTTCTCTTAGGTGTATACCTAGAAGGTAGGCATGTGTTTAGCTTTCATACTGCCAAATAGTCTTTCAAAGTGGCTGTAACAATTCCAGTCTCACCAACAATGTATGAGCATTCTAGGTATTTTACATTTTTGCTGCTACTTGGTATATTTATTATTTTAATGTTAGCCTTTCCAGTGGGTGTGTAGTGGTATCTCATTGTAATTTTAACTTGCATTTTCCTAATGACTAATGATGTTGAGCACCTTCTTAATATTCTTATTGGCCTTTTACCTATCTTTATTTTGTGAATTCTTTTTTCCTTTTTTAAAAAATGGGTTTTCTGTATTATTGATGTATAAAAATTCTTTATATATTTTGGAAATGAGTCCTTTGCCAGCATATATGTTTTGCAATATTTACTCTCAGTTTGTGGCTTGTCACTTTACTCATAAAGGTGTCTTGATGAATAAAAGTTAATAATTTTACTGAGGTCCAATTTATCAATCTTTTCCCTTGCGGTTAGGGTTTTTCTTGTGTTGCTTAAGAAATCGTTACTTAACACCAATGTCATGAAGATGTTCTTTTCTATTTATTTTGGGAGCTTTATTGAATTCCATGATTCATCTCAAATTAGTTTTTCTGCATATATGTAATAGATGTCAAGATTAATTTTTTTCCCATTGATTGTCAGTTGATCTATACCAATTCTTGAACTCTTGTTTCCCTACTCAATTACAGTAAGCCTTTGCTGTAAATCAGGTTGCCATATGTATGTGGATTTGTTTCTGAACTCTTTCATCTATTTGTCTATTCTTGTGTCACTCCATATGGTTACCGTAGCTGTTATAATGAGACTTGATATCTCAGCGTAATCAGTACAATTTTGTTCTTTTCTCCTTCAAGATTGTCATAACTATTTTAAGTCCTTTGTATTTCCATATACATTTTATTTATTTATTTTTTGAGTCTTGTTCTGTTACCCAGGCTGGAGTGCAGTGGCTCCATCTCGGCTCAGTGCAACCTTCGCCTCCCAGGTTCAAGTAATTTTCCTGCCACAGCCTCCCTAGTAGCTGGAATTATAGGCATGCACCATCATGCCTGGGTAATTTTTGTATTTTTACTAGAGACTGCGTTTCACCATGTTGGCCAGGCTGGTCTCGAGCTCCTGACCTCAGGTGATCCACCTGCCTTGGTCTCCCAAAGTGCTGGGATTACATGCGTGAGCCACCACTCCCGGCTTATCATATACATTTTGATTTCAACTTGTAACTTTTAGAATTAATTTCCAAAAAGGAAAGCTGTTGGTGTTTTTTCTGGGATTACATTGAATCTGTAGATCAATTTTGGATGAATTAACATATTAACATACTGAGTTGACATAGTTTTGAGTTTTTCAATTCATATACAGAGCAATGCTTTTCATATTTTTAGGCCTTTAATTTCTCTCAGCAGTGTTTTGAACTTTTTAGAGAAATTTTGCATGTATTTCATTGAATTTCATCTGTTTTTTACTGATGTTTAAGTAGATTTTTAAAAACTTTATTTTCTGGCTAGGCTCAGTGGCTCTTGCCTGTAACCAATCATAGCACTTTGGGAGGCCGAGGTGGGTGGATCATTTGAGGTCAGTAGTTTGAAACAGCCTGGCCAATATGGCAAAACCCCATCTCTTCTAAAATTACAAAAAAATTAGCCAGGTGTGGTGGCGCACGCCTGTAATCCCAGCTACTTGGGATGCTGAGGCACGAGAATCACTTGAACCGGGGAGGTGGAGGTTGCAGTGAGCCAAGATCATGCCCCTGCACTCCAGCCTGGGTGACAAAGTGAGACTGTCCCAAAAAACAAAAACAAATGAAAAAACCCCTTTATTTTCTAATAATTTGTTACTAGTACAGAGAAATCAAATGGATTTTGGTATGTTGACCTTCTAGCTAGTAGCCTAACATGTCTCACAGTTTTTGGTAGGTTCTTTTGGTTGTCTATGTTCAATCATGTCATCTGCAAATAATGACAGTTTTACATCTTTCTATCCAATACTTGTATCTTTTATTTCGTTTTATTTCATTATTGCACTGGGCTAGGACCTCTTATATAATATGTGGTAGAGATCCTGAGAATAGACATTCATCCTTTTTTGTTTCTAATTTCAGTGGGAAAGTGTTTAGTGTTTTACCGTTAAGTATGTTGTTATCCATAAATACCCTTTGTTGAGTTGAGATCTTCTTTTCCTACTTTTCCAATGAGTTTTAAAAATCATGAATGAAAGCTGAATTTTATCATATATTACATTTAATGAGTTGATACGTGATTTTTCTCTTTTATTTTGTTAATGTGGTAAATTACATTGTTTTCAAATCTTAACCTTGTGTTCCTGGGATAAACCTGATTATATATTATCATTTTTACATATTATTGGATTCAATTTGTTAAATTTTGATTGGTTTTGTTGTGTCTTTGCTTATAAGTGATACTAGCCTGTGATTTTCCTTTCTTGTAATGTTATTACCTAGTTTTGAATGTCATCTATAAAAATATATATTTGCCTTATTATTTGTGAAGTACTCTCTCTTTTTATGATCTCTGACAGTTTATATAAGATCAATGTTAGTAGTTTTTTAAAATTGTGATAGAATGTATATAATATAACATCATCTTAACCAATTTTTATTTTTTTGAGATAGGTTTCACTCTTGTTGCCCAGGCTGGAGTGTTATGGTGCTATCTCAGATTACTGCAACCTCCACTTCCCGGGTTCAAGTGATTCTTCTGCCTCAGCCTCCTGAGTAACTGGAATTACTGGTGCCCATCACAATGCCCAGCTAATTTTTTGTATTTTTAGTAGAGATGGGGTTTCACTATGTTGGCCAGGGTGGTCTTGAACTCCTGACCTCAGGTGGTCCACCCACCTTGGCCTCCCAAAGTGCTGGGATTACAGGTGTGAGCCATTGTGGCTGGCCTATCTTAACTATTTTTAAATATACAATTCTGTGATATTACTTATGTTTACATTGTTGTGTAACCATCATTACTACCCATCTCTAGAATGTTTTCATCTTCCCAAACTGAAATTCTGTACCCATTAGATGCTAACTTCCTATTTTCTCCTCTTCCTAGCCCCTTGCAACCACCATTTTACTTATGATTGTATGAATTTGACTATTTTAAGTATCTCATATGAATAGGATCATTCAGTGTTTGTTCTTTTGTTATTGGCATATTTCACTTAGTACAATGTCTAAAAACGCTTATTTATGTTATAGTATATGCCACTATGTCCTTTGTTTTTAAGTCTAAATAATCAGTTATATGTACATGCCACATTTTGTTTGTTTATTCATTCATTGATAGACATTTAGGTTGCCTCCATCTTTTGCCTATAATGGTGATATGAGGGTAGGTGTACAAATATACCTGAGACCCTGCTTTTAAT